ATTTTATCATCAAAATTATATGTTATGATAAAATTTGAAGGTGCACCTTAATTGGAGTGTTTAAGGTTGCAACCTTATGGAAACTACACCCACTTTTAAAAAGGCATTGGAGAAGTGAACAAAACATACCTTTTGATAATGAGTTTTGGAGATTTTTCATCACAGAGGGTATCTTAAGGAGGTTATCTTGGGCATAATATTATACCTCTAGAAATTATATAGATGGAAAAGGTTTATAGAATTAAGGTGCACCTCAAGAATCTCTCACTGCTTTGACATTGAAAAACCATCTAATTGATCTCGATATTGAGATGTATGGATATGAAAAAATAAAAATAAAAAATTAAGTCTTAAAAATAGTACATCTTATAATACATTATCTGGACTATCTAGTTTTAAATTTTTTATGCGTTTATAGATCTACTTGATTTGAACTATTTTTAGAGTTTAAGATTTTATAATTAGAGATAAAAATAGATTATTGAGATTCTAATAATTTATTATGCTAAAATTATATCTTATGACAAAATTTAGAGGTACACATTATTGTGATTGTTCAAGGCTCCGTGCATGTCTTTTGCTCCTTTGCTTTTAGACGATAGATGTCCTTGGATATATCTTCACTTTGGGAAAGGTTTCTATAATGACCTATGCTTCCCCTACCATCCAGCCGTCTAATTTTGGTCAAGTGAGTCACTCACTATTTGATCTTAGATTTGATGCCTCTGAATATTTTATTTTTAATTTGTTTTATATAAATTGTATGAATACGAAATTTTGTACGTGCTATCTTCGCATTGGATGCACCTACAAAAAATATTAAAAATAATTTTTTGTTAAAATATAATGACCAAAATACCCCTTGAATATTTCATAGGTATTTTGGTCATTTTATTTTGCTGGGAATATTTTTTTTTTTATATTTTTTACAAGTGCGAGTCTAATATAGGATTAAACACCCAAAATTTGGTGTGAAAATAATTTATATAAAAAAATTTTTAAAAAAATAGTTTAGAGATGTGACATTGTGATTGGGACAATCTTAGCCCTCCATTCATAATGGATGGTTGGATAGTGGAAAGTATATAAGTTTTATGTTGGGGTATGGTTTGTATAGAGCTGAGGCTCTAAACAATCAAATCAGAGTATGCCTTCATATACTTTCGAAAAATGTGATTGTAATACTAGAAATCTTTGATTAGCTTTAACATATATATTTATCTTTAATTATAAAATTTAAAGCTTAAAAAATAGTGTAGATCTATGAAAACTTGAATAACTTAAAAATTGACGGTCCAAAATATGTTACAAGATGCACTATATTCAAAACTTAAGATCCATTTTTTTCTTAAGTCCATGCATCTTGATGCCGAGATGATCAAAACGGTCCCTACCCATTTTTTCAAGGAAAAGTTTATATAAGGATGCAACCTTATAATGTAGAACTAGCACATAAAAAATCTATCGGAAAAAGTAGTTTTCTTGTTGAAAAACCCTTTGATTGATCATCTCGACATCGAGATATATGACCATGAAAAATAAAAGGATTTTAAGTCTAAAAAATAGTACATTTTACAACATATTATCTACACGGTCTATTTTCAAGATTTTCATATATTTATAGATCTACTTGATTTTAACTATTTTTGAAATTAAAAATTTTATAATTAAATATAAAAATAAATTTTAAGATAATCTTAAAAACATTTTACATCAAAATTATATAACATGATAAATTTTGAAGGTCCACCATACCTCTAGAGCTACGGATGCATCAGTATGCCAACTGCACCCTCTTATTCAATACATTGGGAAGTTACGGATGCATCAGTATGCCATCTGCATCCTCTTTTTCATTGGGAAGTTAGTTACATTTTGAAAGTGTTAATCGGGGATGTCAATAGGAATCGCGATGCAACCACCATGCGAAATGGCCCTGAACTTTTCCACCGCAAGAGGGGGAACTTTTTTGCCAAAACTTCTATAGTCTCTCGGGAGCAAAAAGACTTAAATTTCTTCTTAATAGCCGGCACGATAACATTAACCCCTATACACCCGTTTTCGGGCTCTTTTGGCTTCTCCGCATCAAATTTTTAGTGAGAGAAAGAAAGTAGAGATACAGACGACTGTAGGGGCGACCTGGGAAACAATGTGGAGAAGAATTGCAGTGAAGCCTGAAACCCTAGCCTCCTTTTCTCTGAGGCTATCCAATTTTTGCCCTCGCAGGGCCTTTGCGTCTTCCTCTTCATCCTGTCTTAACTCCTCTTCCCCTCCTTTCCATAGCACTGCTCCTCTTTTCTCTCAACAAGTTGCTACAGATGCTGGTAACTACTCTCTCTCTAAAACTCACTCTTTCTCTCTCTTCCTTGATGGCTATTTCTTTATATGAAATCTCATTTTTTAAATTATTCCTTTTCTTTTTCAGTTGCTCTGAATTTGTTGATGGCGTGGCTTTGATAGTCTATTGATTTGTTTGTATTTGGAATTTGGATCCTATTGTGATCGACTGCAGCAATTAATTTATGGTTGTTTGCTTGTTTGCCTTCATGGAGTTTGTATTGATTAATTGCATTTCGTGACTTAATTATAGTTAATCAGTTCTGGTTATTTGTTTTTACAGAATTTGTAGTGATTGATTGCATAGAGCTTATAAATACTTGAAAACCTTGTTATAATGGTTGCATTTCGGGTCATCTTCTATATAGAGATCGGCAATTCCTTTTTACCGAAAATGATTGTTGCTTTATTCTTAGTTTTGGCATTTTGTTGCATTTCTTCTTTGCTCAGCACTGGAATGACATGTGTGAAGTGTAATGGGGATTGCAGTTGTCTACAGATCCTGTGTATTTTTATCTTTCGCCATTATCAGTTGAATCTACACTGCTTGTTGTGATTTGTTGACTTCTATTTTCATCCTATCTCTCCGGAGACTCGTCCCCAAAAGATCGTACTTGTGTTAATTAGATTGTTGTTGATGTAGTAGTATTAGTATTTCATGTTGTTATGATTGTTTTGAATAATTATATTCTTTCGTCTTGGCGTTATCTAAATGAGTAACATGAATGAATTTTGAAAAAATGCTAAAAGTGGAATACCATTGAAGTACTTGGCTCATGCCAGTGTGTTTTAATTTCCATATTTTCCTATGTCGTGTTTGTTGTATGCATCTTCGCTTTTTAATTGTTTCTTCTGGATTTTTCTTCTTTATAAAGAGATCTTGGTTTTGCTGGAGAAGAGAAACCCCTTTGATCAAACAAAGAAATAAACACTCCAGCATTAGGGTAGACTTTTTATTCAACTAAGGGATATAGAAAATTTAGGAAATTAGGAATTCTTATTAATTTTGATAAAGAGTCAAAAAGTTAAAAGCAAAAATTCTCACGGATGATAAAATATAGTTATTCCACATGTGGAATTTAAGCATTAAGTTTGAGTTTGTTCTCATAGGCAAGCAATTCATGAACTGAAGTGAAAAAATAGAACAAAAGTTAAAAAATTTATAAAATTCTAAACATTAAAATGAGAAAACATTGTCTTACTTGGGGAGGCAATTTTTGCTCTTTGGACTCTACATGCCGTGGTAATCAAAAGTTCTCCATTGATAAAGAAAGGTCTCGATTTGCTGCGTGAATGCATCTTTCTCCTTCCTTAACGACCAAGAGAAAAAAAGAAAAGAATGCATCTTTCACTTTTCCATTAGTCTCTCCTTCGATGATTTACAAATGTACAAACTGTACCTTCTTAGGCTTTTGAGAAGAAAAGGTAAAATCCCTATCTTTTCTGATCATAGTAGCAATTTAAATTGTTTTAGACTGCCTGACTAGAATCTTTTTTTTCTTTTTCCCCCCTAAAAAGATCGGCAAGTAATTTTTCCTTGGGGAGAAGCCTAAGTAAAAAGGTGATGAATTATGGGATTTTGTTCCCTGTGGCATATGGTCTGAATTAAAAAATTTCAGTCAGAGGCCAAAGTAAAGATATCATGAAACACTTATTTTCCTTTTTTTTTTTTGATAGGTAGTTATCTTATAACATGAAGGGAGTAGAATACAATGCTTTAAAAACAACAACCATGGTTGCAATTGATCATAGCCTCACATTCTTTGTGATCCTATTTGCCAACAATCCATAAGAATATACTTTTATTTTAGTGTTTGAGGGAACAATATTTAGGATAAACATGTGTCTCTTCAAGACAAGAGTCAGTTAAATTGTAAATTGTCTTATCCATATCTTTCATGAATGATCCTCAAATAATTTCTGAATCCTGTTATTTTTCTTACAGTATATAAATCCTAAATCCTATGAATGTGTCCATCCCGTGGTTTCCTCTTAAGAATAATCAATGCTTCTGCACACCAACTCCTTATCAACAAAATTTGGTGTTCGTAGTTTCATACAACTGATTGGATCATCGAAAGTACTCTTAGAGTCTAAGAGATATGGTTAGACCTAAAATGTCTAGAATTTATCTCAATTACATACACATGAATGAGGATGAGGGAACTTGATAGTAGGTGGAAAATTAGTTTCTTATGAAGTGGATATGGAAATCAGTAGTGTCACAATTCTCAGGTTTCTTAGGAGTTTGTTCCAACAATATTTTACCAACCTCTTTTAGCTGCATTTACCTCACAGAGTTTAATTAACTTCTACATTTTCCCTTAGTACTAAAATTTCTCTAAGTTTTCCTTGTATTTCTCTCAAACTTTCATAGTTTCATTTGATTGTCAAGGCAAATTAAGGAAAAAATGACATTTTAACATTCCTATGAAAGTGAGAATGTTTTTGAAAGGGAAAGCCCATTAAAAGAACTTTGGGGTTGATTTCTGGAAACTATTGCTACAGTAAATAAAAAGCAAAATGAGCTCTAAGAGATTTGGGCAAGAGGCCAGTCTGAGAGTACCTCAGAGCATAATCCTTAGTTTAGCAAAATTTGATTTTTACAATATCCAAATCCATCCTGCTTGACGCAATTATGACTGAGCTGTGATAAATTCGTATTTCCTGAGGTTCCCTCTATGACGCAGAAGGTTACCTTCGATAGCTGAGACAGCCAACGCATTAACCACCAAATTGAGGCTAAATTTCTTTTTTAATTGGGAATTTTATGGAGCCTCTTTTACCTTTGAGGATTCAAAATGAGGAGATCAAACAACAATGCAACAAATTTGGACTTTGTGAATTGATTTGGATTTCCTTGGAAGATATGGGCTTTGTTTGTAGTTTTTAGTTCGATTGCATTTATCATATGTACTATAAGAAGCTCTATGATTAAACCTATTAAGTTCTTTTATGACCTTGGCATTTGAACTTATTCTGTACAAGTCAGTTATCTTTTTGGTCATTCTTGAGTTTTACTTTGTGGGATGCCATTCTGCAGGCCATTTTTTCTCACAAAAACTTCTCCAGTGTTGCATGACCCCTTACTGTCATTTTGTTTCCAATCAACAGTCATTACTATGTGTTTTATTATAAAATGCAACTAGAATGTCTGGACAATTTGGAAAGCTGAGGGAGTGCGTAGGCTTTCTCTGCTAATTTTGCTATTGCATTAGTGGTTTTTCCAGGTATTTGTTGCCTCATTAAAGTTTAGGGCTTAGGCATGCATTATAATTATGCTCTTTTTCCTCTTCTTTGTCTTGTTCTTTTAGAACCAGTGGCCTTTATATGAGTTTTTCTACGAGAATTTGATGGCGCAATACCCAAACTATCCTTTTTCTTTTTTTTTTTTATCCTTAAGGTTTTCTGGTATATAATGTAATGATTTATCCTTATCTCAATACTCCCTGAGACAATTTATAACATTGCAGAAAATACTCTGTCAAAGGGTAAACAGAGAGTGGAAGATGTTATGCCAATTGCAACTGGGCTTGAGCGAGAGGAGCTAGAAGCTGAACTTGAGGTTTGTTTTCTCAAGACACCTGAGGGACTTTTTTTGGGAAACTTAGTCACCTGATGGACTTATGTTCACTCTTATTTTGTATGGATCATCTTACAATTTTCTGTGCTGCTTACAGGGGAGAAAACGATTTGACTTGGATCCTCCAACTGGTCCATTTGGTACCAAGGTGAGTTGGGTGTTTTTGTTTGTGATATTGAGCACTGCCTACTCTATTGATCTTTTGAGTTCTAAGTGGTTTCTGTACCTTCATTAGAACAAATTGTTGAAGGCCGCTAATAAAATTGATATTTCTTATAAATTTTAGCTCCAATAGTTAATGATTTTTTACTTGAAGCTATTGCTAATCGGGGTACATCTCTCCTTCATTATTGCTTTGAAAACTATGTTGTTTTCTCTTGCTCTAGTTCTTCCTTAATCTGGGTTATAGAAAGGGCCTGATGGAACATTAGCTGAACATTTCTTTTCTTAGTGACATTGACCGCATCTTTTATTATGATTGGGACAATTGCTGTAATTCCATGCTCTTTCTACTTTGTTCATCTTATTTAGTTCTCTATGTTAGTGAAAATTGATAGTTCTAATAAATTTTAGCTCCAAGCAGTAACGATTTCTAAATTACTTCATGTGAATTTGTCGTTAATTGGGCTAAATTTTAGCTGCATGTTCTTTCTACTTTGTTGATCTTATTTAGTTCTCTATGTAACTTCACTAGGAGAATTGTTCGACATTTAGTGAAAATTGATAGTTACTAATAAATTTTAGCTCCAATCAGTAATGATTTGTAAATTACTTCATGTGAATCTGTCATTAATCGGGCTAAAATTTCCTTATTATCGCTCTGAACATTGTTGTTTTCTCTTGCTTTAGTTCTTCCTGAGTCCAGATTACAGAAAAGGTCATAAATAAGTCTGTCTTGACTTGCTCATGGTCAATTTGCTATTTTTATTAGATTTTGTGTATAAAGGCTCGAGTCTGGCTGATGTTAACATTTCTCTAAAAATAAAGGCTCGAGTCTGGCTGCAGCAATGTACTATGCCATGAACTTTGTGTGGATTCACTATTTATGAAATTTTATTCAACAGACTCATCTTCTGATGTCTACATTTACGGCTAGCGTGACGGTAATTCTCATATGTAAATGTATAGAATCAGTTTTACTCATTGAATCATTTCTTCTGATCTTTTTACTCTGAGACTGCCCCCTTCAGATTGATAATGGTGAGAAAGGTCTAATTTAATGGTGTTTATATTCACATATCATCCAAATATTAGGCATCATTTGTGAGTTATTTCTGAATTTATTTGAAAGTTTATTTTATGGCTAAAAGGTGCTACTTGGATAAGCATGGTTTCCATAGTTACCAGGATTCTCCCAAGCATCGTTTTCAGGGATCTCGCTCAAGCGCTTCGAATAGGGATATCTATGGGATCTCAATCGCTACTTTTTGGGATCTCGATCCCCACCTTTTAAGGACCACTCCTAGCCACTCAAAGGGGCACCAAGAGGCCAAGAAGATGATTTATATGGATATTAGTTGCAACTATAATCTGTTATCGTAATGCTTTTGGATGTTGTAAAGTGTAAAATTGCAAATAAAGCAGCATGCGATGTTTTTGGATGTTGTAAAGTGTGACTTTGTAAATAAAGCAGCTTGAATTGTTATCTGTTGCCACGATATGCTGCATCATAATTTTTTGGTTGTATTTTGAGGGATTGTTATTACATAAAACTTCACATGAAAGGAATATAAAAATATGACTGATTAATTAAATAAAATTTATTAATAAATAAAATTTAATTAATAGTTATTACTTCTTACTGTCCATTTTTTTGTGTGGCTATTTTTTATGGTATTTTGTGGGATTACTGGATTTTTAATTTTTAAATTAGTTTTCTAATTTTTAACTTTTTAATTACTAATTAAAAAATTGTATTGAATGCGCACTTGACCTAGGAGCTTCCTGCATATGTCGATCTGTTGCTCATGCTGCCATTCCTGCCTGCACTCCCACTCCCGCTTCTGCTTCTGCTCCAAGCAAACTTTGATGGTGTCACTTTTTTGTCCTGGTTCTCGTCTAGAGCAAGTGTGTTGTCCCTGTTTGCCTGATGTTTACGCTTTTTCTTCTTGATTCTTATCAGTTGGATTTTGTATAGGCATCAGGATTTTTTTTAATTTATAGGAAGGTTGGGTAGAAATGGAATGTTACCCTTGAGAAATAGGCATCAGTCAAACTTGTCAATTTTCACCTTTGATGGTAGTGGCTGCTAACTTGATTGCCTGCCACTTTCTGCGTGCTTTGTATTGAGAAATTGGCTCATAGAGATTGAACATGACAATATGGGAACTTGGCATGCTGACATACTGTGATGAGCTAACTCCATTGAAGTGCTTTTGAGCCACAATTTACAGAAATGTTTTTTTGTCATGTTGGTCTGCTGTTGATGCTGTGATGGTCAATGGTTTGATCTTTGACATTTGTGTTGCCTAATAGTTGTTGTGAAGATTTTGAAACTATGGGAATCAACTTCAGAAAGATCAATGGTGAAGATTTCTTTTTCTCCATATTGCTAGCAAGATCATGGTTAGCTACGAATGCAAAGTATGTCTCCAGCTTTTATGCTTGTAAGCATCATGATGCATATGACATTAATCAAGTGACTAATACTCAGTGATTTCTTTTTGCCTTGTGTGAATACTTGGATGTGATGCCTTTTTGCCTACACGCATTGTTCACATGCATTAAATATGATGTCTTGAAGAGAGATAGTGGAGGAAGAATTGGTGGAGGACGAAAATGTGATACCTCTGAATGCCATGAAGCGCGTTTCAGATGTTCAATGTTGTCTTGGATTCCATCTCTATTTGTGGTCTCTTGTGACTCCAATTAAATAACATCTGGATCATATGAAGCATATGTCATAACTGACCCATACAAGGTCACCCAATATTAACCAATTTTTCTGATAGAATCGAAACATTTGCAGCTTATATAGTCTATGCAGTTGCATGGTTTTTATCTCTTTCTTTTTAAAAAAATGATTAGTTACTTGAATGATGCAGCTTCCCAGGTTGTTAATAAGACCTGTAGGACTAGGATTAGTTGTAGTGGGGAATTCAGGGTTTTATTCTATCAACCATGGTTGCAATGAGGAGCAGAGGAAGTTCACACTTGAATGATTTTTTTGGCATGGACTGACGCCTTGGACAGTCAATCTTCTCATTTAAATGAGGTTTCTGGCATGGAATGAGGCCTTGGCCAGTCACATCGCTGGTGGTTTTATCATGGGTCTCACTAGAAATGATAAATTCTGACTCCAACTAAACAAAATCTGGATCATGTGAAGCATAGGTCGTAACCTACCCATAGAAGATGCTTCTAGGACCCAAAGTTTCTAAATTCTAACCAATTTTATTGATAGAATCGAAACATCTGCAGCTCGTAGAGACTATGTGGTCCCATGGTTTTTGTCATTTCCTTTAGGAAAGATGATTAGTCTCTTGTATGCTACAGCTGCCTAGTTTGTTAATAAGACCTATAGGACTAGGATTAGTTGTAGTGGGGAACTCAGGATTTTATGTTCTTCTGTCAACCATGGTAGCAGTGAGGAGCAGAGGAAGTTCACACTTGAATGACTTTTTTTGCATGGAATGAGGCCACTTAATCTCCTCATTTAAATGAGGTTTTTGGCATGGAATGAGGCCTTGGACCGTCACATCGCTGGTGGTTTTATCATGTTTCTCTCTAAAAATGATAAAGTTTAGACAATTATGTTACAAGAATTGTTATTGTACTCTTTAGAGTATATCAGGTTGCCAGTTATGCAATGGGGTAGCTGAAGTAGTGATAGGCAATTTTCAAAAAGACGGATTCGGGCGTCTAGGCGGTTTGGGTGCCTGGCTGCTTAGGCCGTTGGGCGGGCGCCTAGAGACAGGGAGCCCTTACCAAAATCAAACAACCCCCACCCCGCCACCCCAAACATCGTCCAAGTTAGAAAAAAATTCAATTAATCATCAAAAAAATCAATTTTTTAATTACAAACATGTTAATATATCGTAAAAGAAAAAATACATGATTTATAACATAATATGTTGTAGCAAAATAAAATCAAAACAATCAAAACCCTTATTCAAATATGATAATATTTTGAAAATATCAAAATGAAATCAATCTCGGTGCAACCCTCATCTATTGGGTCGCCAAAAGTTCTCAAAATCAACTACTAGAAGCTCCAAATCCACTTTCGAACTATTTTGCCTTCATTTTGGGAAGAAATCGAATAAATAAAAATTTATCGATCTTTCGATAACTCACAAAAGAGTGGTTTTTGAGGGGTTTTTCTCACCTTAAAGGCCACAAATTTTCTATTGGGGGTTTAGAATACTCCCTAAAACCCTTTTCCCCCCATTTTAGGGGGGAAAAAATTAAATATTTTACCCTCACCGATGGGTTTTTTTTTTTTGTTCTTTTTCCACCTGCCCTCAAGTTGTCACGGGGCGGCGCTTAGGCAGGCGCCTAGACAATAACGCCTTGGCGGCACCTTGACTGCCTAGGCGGGCACCTAGAAGCAGGGTGCATAAGGACCTTGCCCATACTGCGCCTAGGCGTTTTTTGATTTTTTTTGCTTAGGCGGCCCTCCTAGGTGGTCGGGCAGTTGAATTTTCGAACTGTGGTGATGGGTACTGCACCACACATTTTACTGATCTGTCGGAGTAGAAAAGGACTGAGCGATTTGTCTTGAATTATACTTGCCTTGGGATCCTTTATTAGGTGCATGGCTAATGTGATGAATTTCTTCTTTGGCTGGAACATGTGGTGCTGAGCCTAACTCAAACCCAGAGGCTAGGCCAGCCTTCCAGTACACATACACAAAAGGGAAATGAAGCCAAGCAAACACACAAGCACACATGAGATCCAAGAGGGCCAATGTCTGCTTCTATTGCTTTTGACTTGATTTTTATATAGCACTGAATGCACCTCAAGACTCTGTGTATGCAAGAGAGGAAGGAGAGGCAGGGTGGGGGATGCTGAAATCCACTCTTTGGGCCATTAATGCTCCACACTTGGCTGGATGATGCTCGTTCAGTCATGCGCGAGTGTCATAAACCATATAATTAGGGGTGGAAACAGGTCAAGTCCAAGTGACATGGACCTCGACCCGGACCT